TGATGGCGAAAGGCTGGAATGTCTGGAGACCTGTGACATCGGCGCCGAAAGCAAAGTTTCCGTTTCCTACTTGCATCGGTGTAATAAGACTGGATGCATTGCGGGTGGGATTGTACCGGGACACTAACGTGTATCGGTCGATTGCTGCAAGCGTTCGGGTCGACAAGAGGAGTAGAAAGAGAGAGAGCATTAGGTTTCCCATCTGTATTTCGAAGGAATAGCAGGAGGAAGAAGAACATGCACAGATCCCTGAGGATGACGCCTAAACGTTAACAATTTGATCCAGCCTCGCTAATCCAAATATATCGCCGCCTGTTCATCGCTTTCGGATTCGCTTTCGGATATGCGGTGTGCTCAGACTTCTAATCATTGTGCCGGGGACTGCCACAATTGTTCGGGTGCTGAGCCTACCGTGCTTCGTCAAAGTGAAATCGTGTGTTTTTTTCGAGGGTCAGATGGGACAAGCCACGGTCTGAGTCTCAATAATGATCATTGACCATATAATGTCGGTAGATTTTGCACCTCTTGGTCGATATATGAATTACTGAGGTATTCTCCAGGGAAAAACTCTCCCTGGTGAAGGCTCCATGCTGCGCCCCATCGCCAACATTCTGGAATAGGTCTTGACGATGCAATGTCGGAATTCCTCGTGTACTCCAATTCGTATTCGACGGAAATCTATGGAACTCAGAGATCTCTTCGACGCTCCTCCATAGTCAGATATGTAAGGCCACCAAACTCCCATTTGTGGGAGGAGAGACCACTATATATATACAAGAGAAATCGCTGCAGGAGGTTATTTGCGAAGATGTCAATTAAGCGGTAAAGTTGGAAAATGAGGATTTTGATTCGAACTTCAATGTTCGATTCTTCGAACGAATAGACCGACTCTTGAACTGGACAAATGGATGTCTTCTCAGTGAATGGTCTCCAAATTTTCCCAGGAACAGCTGCAGTACGTCAGAAGGACTACTGGACGCTGTCGGGCGCGTGCCTAAGAGCCTGATTTGAGCCTGATTGCCAACTGCTGTGTACTCGCTTGGGATGTTATTCTGGAATAATGATCGTCATTGAACAGCAGATTCAGGAAAAGGCCTTAGGTACGGCATCAGAAATAGGGATTAGGACATCGTAGAATCTCCTCGAAGCTCCCCTGATGAAAAATCAGCGTTATATGAGTGAAGCCATCTGGATCGTGTGCGAGGAAGAAATCTAAGTCTGTGTAACCAAAACTGTCGCGTTTTGGTTGTCTTTGAGCTTGTCGCGATGCGTGGTAGGAGGTGAATTCCAGAAAAGGAATGGTTGGTAATGATGACGCATCTTTCTTTACTATCTTCCTCCTTACTCTCCTTCGCCTTGATCCAAGCTATTTCATGGCTCCACCTCACATCTATTTATTCTTTGCAGGGTTTCTCGACAAAAATTTCTGAACGCTTTCCTTGGCTGTAGGATATTTACTGTCGGTTTGGGCTTACCGTTTAATCCCAACCGAAAGTCCGTAGGTTGAAGTTGATACAGATGCGGACTGTTCGTCGCCGAAGCCATTTTGATGGCTGGAAGCTCGAAGAGTGCTGCCATCATCGTGAACTATAAGCTTTTCCGGTAATGAAGCATACAAAAGCTTGTTGATTACAATTTTACAACGCTTTACTCAATCCTTCATAGCGAACTACCCAGCCGTCTTTCGGAAATCCTGGTGCATTCCCTTCGCTACCGTCCCACCCACTTGCCATCATTGCGACAGCGTACAAGAGCCCACCTGAGCCCGGAAAGTATGGGGGAGGGATAGGTTTATTTGTCAATGGCATCCCAACCTCGTCGAAATTGAAAAGAGGATCTAACAACCACCCAACGGCATCTTCAGGATCCCCATTACGTGCCGACGACATCGCAAGCATCGGGAAATCCCACCTGTAAACCCTTCAGTTACCAAGAGAAAAGGAATATAGACTCAGCTCACCCCCAGAAGTTCGTCGCATTCCAATGCTCTCTCACCTTCTTAGCCGTTGCGTTCGCGATCGTAAGGTTCAGCCCCTCTGTCTCCGGAAGCCATCCGTATAGTCCCACTAACGCGGGGTGATCGTTAGTATACTTTGGATCTGTCCAAAAGTCGTTTTCAAGTGTTTCGTACACCTTGTACGTGCCGTTGTCGACAGGAAGTGCCGCCAGATTGTCTTTGACCACCGTCCAATTCTTTGGGACCTCTGCACCTAGCTTCTCCATCCATTCTTGCGCCAAGCCCAATCTCAAACGCCAGTACGCCAATTCGAATGCGGGATTCACAGTCACGTTGGGACTGGTATCCTCGCTGACGACGTACATGGGAGGTCCAAGGTCATATACGCCTGTGGACTCGTTGTACCATGCAAACGCGGCCATCCAGTTGGCAGTTTCACGAACCACATCCTCCCACTTTCGCAGCGTCTCTATCGTCGGTGATGCTCGATAATCGTACTGCGCAAATACGAGCGGGTGCGGTTGCTGCCAGATTAGCAGATTGTTGATATCACCTGGAGATGAACGACCTGAAGGATCGGTCATCTTTGGCCATCGTGCACCGGAGGGCCAGTGTTGCTGCTTCTGCGACCTGGTTATCGAAGATGGGAGGAATTTGTCGTAGGTGCCGATAGACCGATTGAGCAGGTCCCAGTTATTCCAAAGAGCCCAATGGGCCGAATGCCAAAAGTACATTTCCATATGGAATTTCCTATATGATCCTGGAATCCAAAACGATCTGTCCGACATGTCTCGAAGATGCTTACCCGTACTGTAGAAAGATTTGTGAGTCCTTTTTTGTAGAATAATGCAAAGTTACTCACCCAGCCATCATTCACTAGCCCGGACTGGCAACGTGCATGAGAGTTGGCTTCAGTACGCAATCCGACATCCACTTACCTCCTGCGGCGGGGTGTCCCCCGCCTCATTGACTCGCATCAAATATCGGGACAGAATAATCCTCCTTTGCAATTCATCTGCTCTTGGGTCGGAAGATTCGGTAAGTACGTCTATGAAACCGCTTTGTGACCAAAAGTGGTCCCAAGCCGTTCGCGATGAGACATCTGTGGCCTCGTAACTCGTCGTGTCACCAGGGCTTGCGATGCCATATGTGACTGCAATTTGGAAGGTCGGCGTGGAGTCTCTAGGTAGGATGGTGTAACGATGAGCATCGGGAGAATCACGGGATATAGTGAAGGCATCGCTGTCGAAAGAAGTCACAAAAGAGGCCTCGTCGAGCGTGTGGGTGATCTCTGCGTTGTGGTTATCCACATCAGTACTGATCGAAGTTGTGTGATTGGCAGGAGCGTTCCAGTTTCCGACGAACGGCCCGCTGAACCAGGCCGAAGGGCCATCGTTCCACGGATAGTCCACGAATACCCCCAACTGACCATCACTCAGTAACGCGGACTCGATGCTAATCCCAACGGTGTCTCGATCTTGGGCACATGTCGTTATCACAGCAATCGCCTCTCCCCCAAAGGAGAACCTGCTCGTGATCGTTCCTGTCCAGAGGTCGAGCTCCTGGCGAATATCCGTCAAATTACTCTCTGTCACGTTAAGCACCTCTCCTTCTACCGACCGGAACACCAGGCCCACCCGTCCTAGATTAACGCGGTTGGGATTCGCGGTGAGCCATTGCTCGATAGCCTCGTCAGCACCACCAAAGTCATACTCGACAAGGAGTCCGTGATTATCCCAGCTTGTGCCGTGATAGTTATTCACGTCGTCCATCGTCTTGCCCTCGGGTAAAGAGTCGTTTTTCCACCCCCAGGAAGACATGATGGCGAAAGGCTGGAACGTCTGGAGACCTGTGACATCGGCGCCGAAAGCAAAGTTTCCGTTTCCTACTTGCATCGGTGTAATAAGACTGGATGCATTGCGGGTGGGATTGTACCGGGACACTAACGTGTATCGGTCGATTGCTGCTAGCGTTTGGGTCAGCAAGAGGAGTAGAAAGAGGGAGACCATTAGGTTTCTGATCTGTACTTCGGAAGAATAGCAGGAGGAAGAAGAACATACACAAATTCCCAAGAACGACGCCTGAACGTTAATAACAGTCGAGCCGGCCTTGTTGATATCTAGATGTGTTGTCACTTGTTCATCGCTTTCGGACTCGGTTTCGGGCATGTGCTTGGACTTCTAACCCGGCCTAGCACAACTGCTTGGGTGTGGAGCCCAAAGTGGGATTCTCACTTCACCAAAGGGAATTTGTGCTCGGTTTCTTTGGTCATGGGACCATAGTCTGAGTGATGATCGTAGGGAATAGCTGGATGCCTTCTTCGACCTTGAGCCCGCAGCGACTGTCGGGGACCTGACGATGCGATGATAGGCTACAAAAGGAGGGTTTAAGGTAAGCGTAGGGTCGTATAAAAGACCGAAATGATGTGTACGCGACAGTTGCTGAACTCGCCTTCGTTCGGATACTCTACGCAGAAGCTCGATACTCCAAATTTCTTGGTGCCTTGCCAATTCATCGCACTCGGATTCGCCTTCGAACTCCTTCACAGACTGCCGTCCGTTGTTCTCGCCTGGCACATTGTTCGGGCCAATGTTGGATTCTCAGTTCGCGAGTCGCGAGTCGCCAAAGCGGAAGCGGAAGCGGGTGCAACGGGCCACGGGCCACTTGATGATTCTAGGATGAGAGAATGAGCGGGATTTCGGTCTTCGCTAAATCTCTAAATTACTGAAGGATTACCGAAAGATGCTTGTCTTGTTTCATACAGACCATTCTACATCATGTATCTCCAAACAGAACATACCAATGAAGAAGCTGTCGGAATGCTTTAGCACAAATCACAACAATGACGTCTCTCCGAAGTTCCTCCAGAGTCGGGTATGGTAACGGGTTTTATACCGCGGACTCCGACTGGTGGGGGGTAGAGAAACTCACCACTGACCAAGTATGTGTTATGGGAGAAAAAGCATACGCTCAACCGCTTAGATGGTTATGGGAGTAGTATGCAAAATATCTAAAAGACAAAAGAAATAATCTACGTGATTGAAGGCACTACCAGGGGTCGAACCTGGGTTGTGGGAAATCCCATAGTACTTGTCACAAATCAGAATCCCATGTGCTGCCACTACACCATAGCGCCTTGATCGTAGATCGGTAGTTTCCATTTCCATGAAGTAGACCGGGAATTAAGTGTTTATCCAACAACGCATCGTCCTCTAGAGACTAGCATGAGTGTCCTCTGAAAAGTAAGGCTTCAGTAATGCTCGTTCGCCAAAGAATTGATGGCCCTGAAACCATTGAACGAACGGTGTGTTTAGAGAAGGGTCGTTTGTTCAATTGAAGATTATGAGACGACCAGTACTTACCAGAAATTGCCTGAACCTGTGTATATGGTGTGTGCATGACCACAGTCGGCCCACAAGCTGAGACAGATAGCTTCGAGAACACCTGGGCTCCCGGATAGATTTATTCGGCTTGTCTACTATTGGGTGTGAGCAAAGCACGTATGCACTTTGCAAATAAGAGATGAAGCACTCACCGGCACCGTTATGTCCTCCAAGTTCCAACACCTCCCTTGCTAGCCAAAACATGCGTGATTTGAAACGGATTCCGCCATATAGCAAGTTCGTCCAGATTTGAGTGCGCAGGAACTGGGTATTTGTGTACGCCGCAAATAGCTGCGCGCGCCAGCTAGGACGGGCAGTTCGCATAGACGTGGTTCTTGTTCGAGTAGCGCGGCCACTGCCTTGACCAATACAGTACCGAAGGGTGCACTACCACTGTTGCCTGATAGAGCATCCACTGCAACGAAAAGTGAAAGACCGGTCGTTCTGTTACGTGTTCGGCATTCCACAAGATCTTCTTCCATCCGCACTCGTCATTGATAGCACCGATAAATGCTTCCTTTGCTGTAGGTCAAAAACCCATACAGAAGGCCTCGGATACTTGTGACGGCTTCTTGCATAAACATTGGGGGAAGCGACGATAGTGTGTTGTAAATTTGGAACGGCAAGTGGGCTCGGTGGTCCCGGTCCGGGCATAGGTCATCACAAAGTATGTGCCTTAGTAAGCATTCCACGACCGTGTTGAGGTTAGGGTTCCACATTTGAGCCACGTTTGCCCGGAGTCCAGAACGTTCAATCATCGTTCAACTTTGACGCAGTCCGACGTATCATCTCTCACAATCACCCAAAGAAGCGGCTTTATGATCTGTGCTCGCCGCTTGGACCCTGAACTCCCCAAGAACATCAGTAATTGTCTTCCTATGTGGAGCTTCAACTTCCAATGTTCAATCTTCCCAATGTTCATTTATTGGTTGCGTGTGACCCGGCGCTGTGGCTTCTTCTCCATGAACTTGGACCGTTAATCAGTGATCACTGCCGGAAAGTCAGCAGATAGCGTCGCGTGTTCAATTTCAACTAACTTTGTCTTGTCTACGACGGTGAGTTTTCGGACGAATCTCCCCCACTTGCGATGGGCTGACTACCTTACAGAGCACTGTGCGCGAGGTCGCTTCTAGTGTCGAAGTGTATTCCGAGAGAGCTTATCTTGCCACTTCTTTGTAAAGAACACCGCGCTTTTTCTGCACAATGACCAACCCGCGTACGACCTCAAGGCACTGCAGGGAAAATGCGTCACAGCGGAAAGCCTTGAATATGTGACTCTCTCTGCATAGTTAAACTCTCCCACTGCAGCTCCATTCTCACTTCAAGATAATTCCTATGTCAATGTGTCGATTTACTACGGTACTACGATCATGATGCCCTTGTTCAAGAGATGAAGAAGGTTTGGCAACGACACGTCGTTTGGTAGGTCTGTCTCGCCTTACCGCCACCATGGTCGATTTTGCATCCCTTCGTTCCCCGCACCAGACTGTTTCACAGTAGCTCTATCATGGTATTACCATGATTATATGCGAAAGGCATTGCCTGCAGTCTTGTCCATAACCCGGTAACACCGAAAAAGAAGTCGTCCTGTCACAATGGTTAGCCGTCCGAGTCCGAGAGCGAGAGTGATGAACAAGGAAGGACAAACATGTGAGTCCATGCCTACGTGTACGTGAAGATGCTACATATACTGTAACACCTTACGGTTGCTCCCAGTGTTCTTCGGCCCTCTTTTCCCCAAGATGCTTCCCGGAGTACTGTTACTCTCATTCGCCTTCCCCAGCAGATGGAGCGGTATTTCTGTAGTACTCGCACAGTCGGGTAGTACGAGAACAAGCTCTTCGGTAGTTTCCACAACTGCTAGTATACTGAGTCCCACAAGTATCCCAACGGGGATCGCTAGCTTTCCTCCAGTCGGATCGATTCCTCGCGATTACACGCCGGAAGGACTGGAAGGACTCTGGGACATCGTTAGTATTCTCGCTGATCGTCCTAGAACATGACATTCCTAGCTCTACAGATCGGGCCTGTCGAGGCGCCTCCGTTCACCACTACCCGTGTGCCCAGTGCTGCGGTGACCCTACCACCCTCTCCCCCGCCTTTGTATCCCTCCTTCTACGCGCCCGCACCAAAGGACGTCTTACCGGGCGTGAAATTCCCCAGGGGTTTCAAATTCGGAGTCGCCACAGCCGCGTACCAAGTCGAGGGGGCAACAAAGAACGAGGGTAAGGGTCCGTCATTGTGGGACTGGGCTTCCAGACAGCCAAATGGTGTATTCGATAACACGACTGGTGAGTACGCGTGGTACCCCGGAGGATGCGACTGAGATTATTGCAGCTGACGTCGTTGATCTTCACTACTTCCTGTACAAAGAAGACGTCCAGCGCATTGTTGCTCTTGGTGTTACTGCGCATTCTTTCTCGTACGCGCTAGAACCCCATTGACTCGACTTATCTGAACATAATGCTTCTTTAGGATTTCATGGGCGAGGATCTACCCATTCGGTGCTGCCGACTCTCCCATTAATACGGCTGGCATTGATCACTATTCCGATGGTACGATGTCATCCTGACAGTATCTTAAGTGACGCTGATGTTTCCGCTGCAGTCATTGATTACCACCTGGCTCACGGTGTGGAACCTGTTGTAACACTGTGTAAGGCTTTCTTCTTCCTATTCAATATACCATGGTTACCACCTGAGAAATAGTCCATTGGGATACACCCCTCGCCCTTCAGGCCTACTACGGGGGTTTCACATCGCCGGAAATAGTCGACGACTTTGTAAAGTGGGTGCTAGAAGGATCCGATAGTTCGTGTATTCATACTGTTTCCAGCTACGCCAAGACTGTATTCAAGGCATACAACGGGCGTGTTAAAACTTGGTTTGTTTTTGAAGTTTCTTGTCGCAGAAATGTGCTCAGCTGCTTTAGGTATACTTTCAATGAACCGAGGATTTATTGTGGCCAGGTTGCGTCGTATCCATTCGGTAAAACTTTCTGTACATCAAAACCAACCTTTGCAAGCTTACTATTAAGACCAGACGTCACGCTTGCCCCTGGCGTAAATTCTTCCACCGCCCCTTATCAATGTGCATATAATCTATGTACGTTCTACATCCTTCCCCATAACGCCCCTCATCCTGATGCTTTATCATAGTAAAGGCCCACGCAGGAGCCGTCAAGGGTTTGTCAATGTACCGTCATAAGGCACTACTGGCTCATTCATTTTTCCCTAGCATTTCGCGCAATGAACATATCTGGAGAGATCGCCTTCAAGAACAGCGATTACATGTAACTATATTCCTCTCTCTCTTGCTAGCATCCGCTGGACATCCTGCAGAGGCACGCCGTGGAGAAGCAACTCCACTGAAGACGCGCTTGCAGTCGAACGCCACGCAGCGTTCGAACTCGGCCTCTTCTCAAACCCCGTATACACAACTGGCGATTGGCCCGACATTGTCAAAGACACTCTCCCGGTCGAGTATCTTCCGCGCTTCACGGATCAGGAAAAGAATGACATCCTCGGCTCCGCGGATTTCTTCGCTATTGATTCCTACTTCTCGTTGTGGGTAAAGGCTCCGGACACAGGGATCGACGCGTGCGTGGCTGATCAGTCCCATCTGCTGTGGCCGGTCTGTAACGAACCTGTGTATTTCGACTCGGGTTACGGCTGGCCTGCGGGTCCCGTTGGTGACCCGGTAGCCCTCCCCGTCCAAGCGGCACCGGTAGCCATTCGTGCGTTGCTGAAGGGCCTCCACTCTCGATGGCCAAGTAATAAATTTGTGGGCGCGTGACAATTTTATAGTGGCAATTTCTGACTATTGGTGGGCAGTATGTTTCCGAGTTCGGCTTCATTGAGCCTTTCGCCTACGCGAACGCGGATATATCGCAAATAAAGGAGGATGTACTCCGAACGAGTGCGTATTTGACAACGTTACAGCCTAGCTAGTCGACAAATCATTTGTTACTTCCAGACTCCTTACTCACGTACCTCGGTGAGATGTTGCTAGCCATCCACGAAGACAACGTCCCTATTCAAGGCGCTTTCACTTGGGGTCAGTTCAAGCAAATGGAACATGAAAACCCGCCACTGACTCGTTGTAGCAATGGTTGACAACGCAGAATGGCAAATCGGAACATCCATGAAGTGCGTGCTCGTTGTTTTGGGTTTAGATTTTTTCAGGTCTTAACATGAGTGTAGATATGGTATTCAGCACGTGGACTACACGACACTGGAGCGAACATACAAGCGTTCAGCGTTGTCCTTGGGTGAGTCTTACGATTCCTCTCAATGACCGCTCAATTTTACTCAAACGAATAGCGGAATTCTTTGGGTCGCATCTTCAAGACTGAGGTGAATGTTTTGGTTAGTTTCTGTCGAATGTGAATTCAAGAACAGGGAATATACTTCTTTCTATTCCAGTGTGAAAGCAATACAAAACACCCGCTGTCAATAAGGCATCTCATTTAGCGAGATACGGAGAGCACAAGTTTGATCGCAGCTGAGATGTGGAGGCGTTATCCAGTCCTCTGTCTTGAAGCGTCTGTGAAGTCGCGGATCAATCGACCAAATATGAAAACGTTTTCACCACCATAGCGTGTCGATCAAAGGTGACTTGGTGGACGAATGACCTGGGAAGAGACGTGACCCGTGAAGAAGCCCCGGGACGCCGCCAAAGGTAAGATTTGTTGTTGGAGCTTGGTGGCGTCCAAGAATGAACCCTTCCAGTTCAACGGATGGGTTGTGGAAGAC